ATTTAAGCCAAAGATCGATTGTTTTCAAAAGTTCATCAGAAGGACATTTGTCCCTATCGTTCTTTTTTCCATCCGACGTCATGATCAAATAATAACTATCGAATATACTACATTACTTTTAAGTGGAGTGTACGATAAAAATACAGTCAATATTCATCGGAGCGGTTAATGCGTACGATCAGAGGAGAAGAACGAACGATAATACTTCTTCTTCTCTTCTCACATACATGACTCATATTTGCCGTGCGCAAATGAGTACTTTTTCGTATTCCGTAAGTCTTGTTTTGAATGTTAACACTTTTTTAAAAAAACGTAGTTTCTTCCGTTTGCTGCTCACTACTTAAGAATCAGAAAAGGTACACACTTGACACCTCTTTATTTTCTCTGGTGAAAGAACAAGCAAATCGTGATCAATATTGAAAACAATTCTGCTTATAGTTCAGAAAATTTCATCAATGTCACTTTTCTACTTCAAATTATGAAGCATTCTCATCCAGTCCAGATAATAATTCAGATCTTTTTCAGCCCCTTGAGATGACACTATTTGGTTTCATCATTAGTCTACCTCGTTAAATCGTCTCCTTCTTCGGATTTGTTGTCCATTACATCATATTTTCAATGAATGGCATCGAGAGCTGGAAATGACTTCGTCATGTTTGTAACTTGTGGTGTGATAAACACGAGTCGACCGGTTGGTGACTTCAGAACGGAAAAGTTATCATGGGAACTCGGCACATCCCAGAGGTAATATTCAGATGCATCGTATTTTGTCATTTTAAGAGCGGTCTCGTCTGCTTCAGTTTCAGCCTCTTCTCGGCCGATTAATTGATTTATCGCTGAGCCTTTTCTGACAGAAACGCAACTAAAGCAGCCGAAATTCGCTCTCGCATATCTAACGGTGGAATCTAAGCAGCAAGGCGAATAAGTTGCCAGCCCTTCTCTTATCTCATATCGCGCAAATTCTTCGAATGAGTTCGTATTTTTCCTTCATTTCTGAGCACTATCTTGGCTACATATTCAATCATTGAGAATGGACCAACAATTGAAAACCAAGTTTTAAGCGAACTGGTATAGGTTACGACCGGATGCATCAGACTGTTATATCATCGAGTGACATATTCACTCGAAGATCTATGCTTGGTACAATTCTTAAAAAAGACAGTTATACCTACAGACAGCTTGCGTGAGAGTATCTTTTCTATATCATTAATAGACCTTGGCTTTGTAATGTAAGCAACTACTTCTAGTCCAATTCTTTATTTTTCTCAAAAATTAGTCTTCCTCTAATGTGAATTCTGATATATGCCAGCATTCAGTCCGCGGTCACCATCGCATCCTCAGACATTTTCATTGGTTTGACAGAATAGTGAATATCAAACATCCATTTTCTGGTTTGTTGAAGTGCAACAAAGGCCCTATTAAATAAAAGCTCTTATGAACCAAATTGTGTTTCTCGAACTATTTGGTTATCTCTTGGATAACTCACTGGCAAAGTCCGAGGGACCATAATTTTCGGTAGTTCTTCCATTGAAACCTTTGACCAGTACGATATTTCATATACCAGATCTACGCAACCAAAGCAAGATTAAACATTACAATGATAAATATAGGTACAATGTTATTTGCAACACCATTTCACTTTCCATCTGATGCGCTTGAAAATGCACAATAGGCCAAGCCACATCGAGATTGTGTGTAATCAGGAGTGATATTACACGGTAAAATATAAAACATTGCAAAATAGTACGATAATGGATATATAGTGAATATACTTATATGTCAATAATGAAAAGCAAATCGTTTCATTCGTGTTGCGACTAAACATTTATGAAAGATCAGAATATGCCGTTCTATCGATATCCACGCCACAAGAATCATCACAGTTGTGAATAGAGAAAGATTCATATATGCCCATATAAGGCAAAAAGCATATGCTGATACCGATGTTGTACCGGTACGAAAACAATCAATTAACTATACAACATCGGTTAAACAAAAAATCAAAGAGACAATAAGTATGATGATGACCATGTGATTGTTGAGAGCACTGCGAAGCGTGCGATTCATGAGACGATGGTAAATAGTGAATATGCAGCATAGAATCGATGGAATAACCAATGCAAGAAAAAGCCAAAACTGAATAACATTAGCAATCGCCGAGTATTATCCGAAAAGCTCTTCTTCCATATTAAGCAAAAATGATTACGCAGACGAAGCCAGAATGTGATCATAATTACAATCAGCGATAGTACTTGGTAATTACCACTAGTAACGCTTGTCGAGGCAGCCTCGCTATACTCTCGACCGAACAGCTGGCTGAAAATAGAATAGTCTTATGTGCATTTTATGCAAAAAAAGACAGAAGTATAACCTTTGAAAGGGTCTCCAAAGACTATTCTTCGTTCGTCTCACAGTCTTCAAAAGAACCAACGGACTACTTGTATTCTTTTTAATTATTCGATATTCCTGACTGACAATCACTGTTCACAGGAAGCAGAAGGGTGGTTGAGGATGCGCGGCGGGTGCTAAAATAGTGAAATTCTAGAATAGTTGAACGAATGCTTAAATACTTGAAGTTAACTTTCAAGTTTGACACCACTGAACAGATACTTCAACCAATATCAGGATATGAGGATGAACCACTCATGTCTTTAGAAGAAGCTTGTAAACCATTGGAAAAGATCGAGCAAATTCATATTTTCAACATGAAGATGGAATTCTTCTTCCATCAGACATCTATCTTGAAGTAATTGACAAATTCAGTTCGGCTGATGATTTGAACATTATTCATCTTCGAGAAATCGTTGCTCGATATAAAATGCTTGCAGATCCTTTCGATCTTAGTAAACTAGAACAGGCTTTACCATCATTCGAATCATCATCTTCAGAAATTTCACACAAAGATCAAGAAACACCACAACCTAGTGTACCAAAGAAAGCTTCAGTCTATTCTCAAAAGCAGTTAAAATGCTAAGGACGTGCTTGTGCTAGATGGGGTTATTGTCGTGATTGGTCTTGGCGTCCAAATAAAACCCGTAAAACTTATACAAAACTTAAGAATGCTACTTGCACTCGCAATAGTTACATGGCTTATACACGTGTGGTTTATGAATCTGAATTCATGGCTTTACGATAAAAGTCAAAATAATAAGAGATATAAAAGACTATTCATCAGTCTTTGTTGGTTAATTTTTATACCAATGAAATTGTAATTGATCAATAAATGCACCCGATCTTCCCATAACATATCCAACAAAATATCCTGGAATTTCTTCTGTATATAGTTCTCCATTGAGATGATCAATTGATCCGCTTGATCGTCCATTTGTTGTAAATAATCTTATTCCTCGTACCAATGGAACTAATTTTCTAACTTCATCAACATAAAGTGTTATATAATCAACAATAACTTGAACTTTATTAATTCTTTCATTCTTCTTAATACAAAATCTTTCAATAATTTCATCTGAGCCATATGTACCTTGCAATTCTGATTTAATAATTAATTTCTTGTCATCGTTTAATGAAGAATAACAAAATTGACACCAATCTAAAGGATATTTGTTACATCCAGTAATCATTCCACAAAGATAATGTGAAGAAGTTAAACCATTTTCTATAAAATCATCAAAACTATGACCACCCTCAAGTCCACCAAATTTATTTCCAGATTTAATTCGTGATTCTATTTGAGATGATACTGAACAGATTTCTTTTTCTCTCGGTTTTGGTTCTTCATGCAAATGAAGAATTAAAAGACGATCTTCGAAATTCAGTGGTAGATAACGAACACTTAAATGTGTACCAGGCATAAGAATAACTTCTTCTTCATCTGGAATTGCTGAATACCTGGAAATATCTTTTGCTTCAAGTGCACTTATAGCAAATAATGTACCTTTTGGACCAATATATTTACCAACAATATCAGTATTTTTAGAACATGAATTAATACTCCACCAAATTTCTTCTCCATCACAAAGAAAAGATGACGTTGCATCTGCATTTACACCTCTCCAGATTGTTATTTGTAGCGATGATAATTTTTCCACAGCTGTTAAGAATAATTTTAAAAAAGGAAACCATGGTTTTAAAGCATGTCGATCTTTTGCTCGTAGATCTTCATTTAATTTTGAAAAAAATGAAATTGGCATTGTATAAAGATAAATCGCTGCTGATTGATCTAATGTTAGATCAGTTGATGATTTTCTACAATGTTCTTTTGCTTGCGTTATATAATATTCAAGACCGGGAACGATTGGAAGAACTTTTTCTACAGATTGTTCGAGTGTTAAAATAGGTAAATGCTGATAACCATAGATTGGACTATGATTTGCATCACGAAGTTCACAAACTTGTTCATTAATAAAACGATTGAAATTTATATTGTTCGTTTGTTGAGCCATTTAATCTTAAAAATTATCAATGCAACAAGTGGAAATAATGAAATTTAATGAAAGCCTGTATCAGTGTGAAGCTAGCACGAACAAACGAAATGTTAGCTACAGACCTTTCACTAAATATGTCGCGTCCATGCAAACTGCACCACTCGACTCAAAATTGAATTCTGCATCGATTGGTGGTACTTTTATTAATGGGACAAACTTGTGAAAACTTCTATTTAGATCATAAATAGACCTATAAGAACCAAACAAAGGTGTTGGCCAAAACTTTTCCTAAGTTTGCCCGTTAATAAAAGTACCTCCAATCGATGCAGAATTTAATTCTGGGTCGAATGGTGCAGTTTGCATGGACGCGACATATTTAGTAAAAAAGTTTTTAGCTAACATATCGTTTGTTCGTGCTAGCTTCACAACAATAAAGCCGGTTGTAAATATTGATAATAATTTTAAAAAAAACGTTCTTTTACACTGATGATAGTTGTCTTGTTACAAGAACACATTTTTCGTTCTATAAATTTGAAAAGAACGAAAAAAAGTGAGATACGTAAGAAAATAAAAAAATTTAACGGGCACATAAGATAGAGTATTCTTTTATTAGATGAAAAATATCAAATGTTCCAGACACCGGCGGTATGCGGTATCAGTCACCGAACCCGCACTCCTGCGTGATTGTAGGAAGAAGACTTGTCACAGGGTTTTTGCAGATATCTATTATCTCTTTTGTTGTTGTTCTTGTTAATTATCCATCGGTGTTTATCAAGGTTAAACATCTCGTGTCCTATTATTTACATCCCTCTGAAACTCATTGTTTCTGTACTGAAATGAATCTGAATGGATTCTAGTTTATTAGTTACTATATTTATTGATCATTATCATAATCATATATTTACGACTAAGTAATGACAATAATTGATATAGAAGAACAGCTATCATCAGTCTGATTTTTGCATTTTTTTTATTAATGGAGAGTAAAGATTTTAATCATTGAACGATTGAAAAAATTTTTTAAAAGTGCAAAATTTAACCTGTTATGTTCGATAGTTCAACTTGATAATGTTACTCAACGTAATAATCTGCTAATATTAATCTATATTTTTGTTAAGTTCTATACGAACCGTTTTTGACGAAAGATTCTAAGCTTTAATTTCTATAAGATCCATTTTACAGCCTATTGCTACATTTCAAACATCGCCACATTTTTCAACAAATATGGTTCTAACAGCTAATCGAACAACTAATAGATCCAAATTTCCTCTGAGGTGTCATTGTTCGCTCAAAATTAATCCTTGTACGCATTCACTCACATGATGAAAAAGACATAAGATTTTTTACACGGCGTAAACCAAGTTACATCTAAAAATCTTCAAGCTCAAGCTGTAATTCGAATAAAATCGCAAGTCATTTGATTTTACTCAATTCAAATCAAAGATGTATCTCACATGCCGACCTTTGCTGTCAAATCATTCTAAAAACACATACGTTATTCTTAATTCAAAATTTTTGATACAATATGCTCGAAATTAAAGCTGAAGTACATAAATACTTATTTGTGCACGTATATGGAACTCTGAGCTTGACTTATCAGCATCTGGCCATTTAAAAGCCGCCTAATCCCTTAGCTTTCATTTGAAAGGGAAACGACTCGCCAGTGCGACAGATACAACGATATAGTTTTTTACTATCTCAACTATGGGCCCTCAAACTGTCGTAACGTTGTATACTGGTAAGAGATGTTACGCTTTTTTGAAATATCCTCTGACGCACGTTCCCAGAAGTTTTTGTGCACTTTCTTATCAAAATCGTTCGAAAAGTAGTCTATATACGAGACAAAACATATATTAACGACATTTTGGTAGAAGTCAAAAAAATTGTTTGGCGGTACGGTATTAGACTAGTTAAGACGGTACACGATACGGGACGGTGCTCTTTTTTTGCAGTACCGCCGGTCTCTGATCTAAAAACATCTGCCACAATTGATTTAATGCGTTTTTTTATGAAGTCCAGTTGACGATATCGTTCGCAATAACTCCAGCAAGCAATATAAACTCTCTATCAAAGGTCAAAGAAGAAAAATTCTAACGATTTGCTCTGGTAACCATTGTCTCTCCTGATACTAAATATATATTTCTCCTTCTTTATATAAGCCATCGCATCCACATCTGTTTCACTCTCTTTCAGCATTCATAGACATTTCAGAGAATATAATAGCGAAGGAATAACATAGAAGAGATAGAGCACGAGACACATAACATTCTTTCTTTTCTTATCTTCATCTTTTTCTCGTTCCTTCGGGTCGATCGTTTCTTCGCTCTTCTTCTTCTTTTCGCAATACGACAAAAAGAGCTTACCTTAAGAATGTTTTTCGAACACTTAAAATTACGACATACTTCTTATCTTCGACGTGCTCGCCTACGAAAAATATAAACTACATCGATATGCACGTTTACTGTAGAAACATATCGTTACAAGCGATAACTATTTTTCCACAGTTCTTTCTCTTCCGCGCACGTGTTGTACACAAGTCTTATATAGTTTGATAAGTCACACAAAGCAATTAGTTTTGCTGATCGTCGCCAATGGCAGAAGCTACGACTGAACGTGCTATTGACGGAAAGACATTGCAGTCATCAAATCTCAAAATACTTAACAACTTCGACGACTACTTGGTAGCCATTGTGGGCATCGAAGATAAACAACACTTTCTTGAGCAACTTCCGACGATGCTTAACAATGATCGTTTCCAATCGTTTGATGATATCAAAAACAGCCCTGTTTTCGTTCATTCTGAATTAGAGACTAATGTTTTCTTAATCATTTCTGGTACACTGGGAAAACAATATCGTGATCAACTTATACTGGAAAGGCAACTAAAATGTGTATACGTTTATTGTAAGAACGAGAGCTACCACATTGAGTGGACGAAAGAGATCAAGAAAATCAGATGTGTAACATCTGATCCAACAACATTAACCAAAAATCTTCACAAAGATGTGAGAATATTCAGTAATCGATGGCCGTTTGACGAAAAATCATTTATCAAATCATCAATACCCACTTCCCAATGGTTTCATTTATTTCTTACGATGATTTGTCACACACCTGACACTATAATATTACCGTACGATGATATGTTCAACGAATGTCGTTTATACTATAAGAATAATCAATCAACACTGAGAGATATCAATTCGTTCGCCGAAAACCATAAACCAGTGGATACAATTAAACAATACACAAGTAATGGTTTTCTGTATCGTATTCTCAATCATGCTTTACGTACACGAAACATGCGACTTATCAGGAAATTCAGCCCGTTTATTCGTGACTTACATGGTCAGTTGTCTGACTGCCGATTGAAGTATCTGCGCAATTTGGACAAAGAACAATTGATTCGGAGTGTTTACCGAGGACAACATCTAACTGAAGAACAAGTGGGTCATCTTTATTCAGTTTGGAACTCCAATCATCCTGTTATCACTCTGACCACATTTGGCTCGACATCACGGAATCCGAATGTTGCATTTACGTTTTCACTGCCTGAAAATGGCGTCGTTTCTTGTTTATTTGAGATCATCATCACTGACGATCACAATGAGTCGACAGAAAGCCTCCTCTATGAACCACCAGTGTTTGCAGACATTTCTTCAATGTCTACTATGCCCGACGAAAAAGAAGTCTTATTTTCTCTTGTTACACGTTTTCGTATAGTTCAAATCGAACCACAACAAATGGAAAACATTGGCTCCCGGTGTGTAATTACACTGAGACTAGCGGAGCCGGAAGATATGCAGAGTAAATATTCTGCTTCCAGCATTATCAAGGAGTTTAAGAAGATAGAAGATGGACAAGTCTATAAGGATATTCTAGACATGTTAGAACAAACTGCTGACGACGAGACAAAATTCAACAGTACAAACTGGACAGTCTGGTGGAATAATCTGAACAATCAATGGCACCAAGGTGTCAGAGATAAATCACCACTCAATCTCATATTCTATGGGTGTTTTACCAGTAGTCCAAAGTGGTCCAGAGAAGCAATCAAAATGCATAAGAATAGTCTACGTACCATTCCGAGTATTGAATCAAATCGATCTTGTTTTAGAATACTTTACGAATGGTCTAATGCACTGACGACTGCGGTACCAACGAGATGGCTAGCTTTGTACGAAGAATATCTGGAAGCGTTATGTACAACAAACACGAAAGAAGCGATAAATACAGTGAAAACTGCTGCAGAAACATATAAAAAGATCGGTGACAAGGCACATGCAGAGAGCTGTGACAAAAAATTATTGGCATTGATTGGGAATAAGAGCACTCGAAGAGACGGAAATGATTTTTAAAACTGACAGTTCTATATGTGCTTACCGAAGTAGGAAGAGTGTGCAATAAATTTTTTATTCCTCATTTTCACTCATTTTATCAAAAAGAAACAAATATTATAGGAGGAGTCGTAGTAGTCGTCGATAAACATCTTAAAGCGTCGCAGATATGCTGCAACATAGAAAACACAGTAGTAGTAGACATTGAAAGGTTATCAGAACCAATTCGAATAATTGGTATTTACTGACCACATTATCAGAAGCGTCATCTAAACGACCTGAATACGTTTATAACTGGAAGAACAATAATGACAGGAGATTTCAATGCGGGAGCAGAAGAGTGGAATAGCCCAAAAACAAATGTTAGGGGCAAGTAATTAAAGAAGTGGACGGAAGAAAACAATTTAGTCTTTGTGGAAGGAATGAAACAGTCGTCAAAGCGCTCAAAAAGACATGTTGACCTAACTTTCACTAATCTAAACGACATCACAGCGGAAACAGCAGAAATAGAAACTAGTAACCATTGGCCAACGGTCATGAAAAGTGAGGAAGTAAGTTTCCAAACAAACGAGTGTTTCCCAATAGTTAACTGGACAGTTTATGAAATAATGTTAGGATTAATGCAAGAATTTGGATGAAAGAGTTGCAATGTGAAGGCCAGAATGTTGAAAACTGGTACCCAAATTACATCAGATTTTTAGCCACGTTAAACAAAGAGTAACGAAATGGGTAAATAAAGATGAATATTAACCATCGCTTCCGCCCTACATCATCAACGTACTGAAAGACGTGCGACTGGTTCGGAATAAATATTACAGAGGGAGAAAATTCAATGGAGAGATACACGCAGAAGAGTACAGAAAAAAGTTGAGAATGAGAATGATGAGTAGCTATGTGAGAAAAGTGATCAGCAAATATAAATCGGAACGTTGGTATGAATTTCTCTGTCAAGTACAGGAAGCACATGACAGGAAAGGTAATGCCTTCTGGTCCTACTTATCAAAAATATATATGAACCGGAGTCGCTTCCGATTTCGAAACTGATAACAACTACTGAAATCACTCCCAATTATAAGAGCATCACAAATGCACTTTTTGATTATTAGAAAGAACAAGCGAATCCAGCTGAAATTGACGTTAATAATCACCATGATAGGTATATCGAAGAATAATACGTAAAGATAAAAGAAGAGATAGCAAATGAAACAAATATTGAGCTAGAACCAATCACATCCATAGAGATAGTAAAAATCATTAGAAAATTAAAGAACAAAAGTTCTTCAGAATACGATCAAATTTTCAATTTTATGATGAAATTGCTACCCCTAACCTATACATATCGTTCAACGATACGCTTCAACGCTTGTTTGCACCAAGGTCGGTTTCCAGATGTATGTAAGACGGCTAAAATAGCGACACTTAACAAACTAAGAGCAGGAGTGCCGCGAACGGATCAGACAATACCCATAGCATTGCTTCCAACGCATTCTAAATTGTTTGAAGAAATCTTACTAGAGAGATCGAGGATATGGATCGAAGAGAATCAACTAATCCCTGGAGAGCAGTCAGAGTCCATACCTCTTCATCATATACCATTGTGACCTAATGAAATGCTTAGGAACGCATGTGGAACACCTCTTCGCGAATAACCTGTGCGTGCTAATAGGAGCTCCGATTGCTAAAGCACTGGACGCAATAATGGAGAACATAGCAGAATATGTCAAGAAGTGGAAACATCCGATAAATGTGAATAAATCGGTGGCGCAAATATTCTACTCGCAAGCGAAGCGACCAGAGATTAATATTTAAAATGGAGGGATCGAGACTAGAAATATTAGATAAGTTTAAGTATCTCGACTTTACATGGACCAGTAAGCTATCACCGAAGTCAACAGTTGACCAATGCCTTGCAAAGACTACAGAAGCATTGGGTAAACTGCAGTGATTAAAAAGAGGCCGAAAGATTACAGTTCCTCTCCTGAGGATACGTATGTTTGCAGATGCATTATTTACTTAGTACTGTTTCTTGTCTACCTTTCTCTTGAGGGTGAGAATAAATTATGTACCTTCTCGACGAAGCTCATTCGGGAGTGCATATACTCAAAAAGAAACATTGCCGAAAGCAACACACCGAAGCATATATTTCAGATATGAACATGTTCGAAATACAGATCGCCGAACCATATCAATCATCCATTTATGCATACACATCGCATGACATCCTCATACACTCAAGATTGATTAATGAGATATTTTTATGAGAAAAAGCAATGAGTGGTAAGCAATATAAGGAAGATGCAGAAGTAAGTGAGTTTTGGCGTATTTTGAGAGTGACATGATGGTGAAGAGTTTGTTGAAAGAGAAGTAGTGGTTGTCATAGATGTTGTTTGTTCAATAGATTGATTCTTCCAAACAAACTTTGGATAAAATGTTTCATTATGATATTCCCGTAGATGTAAGTCGCACTTGGACAAAATATCACGATGGTTGCATTTATCATAATCACATACCAGTGAATTACTTGCAAATGTTGTGTCATAGCGCGAATAGAAAAGCATAGTATTTGTAAACGTCAGTTTTTCAGTCGATGAGCATTCGACGTCAACGTTTGAACTCGGCGTCCAACTTGTGTGACATGTTTCTTCTGAAGAACACTGTTTAGTTTCACTGTCACTCACGAAGCATTCTCCTAAAATGATCATCGAATCAAATATAGCACTGAACGATTGAAAAGAAGGTCGAAACAGTCATTCATAGTCTATATTCTATTTACTATTTTGCAGATTCATTTTCATATTTCCAGCACTTACGTCGTGTCTTATTCTCAACAACCAATAGTTCAGCGACATTGTGCAAGAAATGCTGATATTTCAAGGTGATGAACCATTCGATGGCATCAATCAAAAATAGTTGCGAACAACGGTCAACAGTAGCACAGACATACTGTACCATAGAATGAAAGCTATAATTAGCATTTCCATTATGGTTTACTGTGGTAATAAACATAAATTTTTCAGGAGATGGGTTTCATTTATCGAAAAATACTGATGGAAAAAAATACAGCAATGTGATTGCCGAAATTTGAAGTAATCATTCCCACCGTACATAAATGTAAGTCGATGGTTTCAATAGCGGGAATTTCATTGAGCTGTCCGCGAAACGTTTGCATATCAAAGTTATCTTTTGAAACCGCCAGGCCATTTTGGTGATGCGGACATTTCAGACTGTAATTGACTGGGAAAAGAATAAAAATGACGAATGCAATCGTCAACCTCATTGAATCGAAGTGGCACAGTAGAATAAAGACTAAGCTTGCTTTCCAAAGAATAAATAGAAGAGAATTTAATTAAATCGATTCGTCATTTGATGTATTATATGCAATAAAGTGACTTTGAAGCACGTTGTGATGCTGGATAAAATCATGACATGTTTCTCATAATATCTGATTTCCATGAATACACTTGACTCGTCACACCACATCGACGCTTTCAAGAAATAGAAAAAAGTGGATGAACATCTAAGATGTAATATGTTCAACATTTGAATAATCATAGCGAGAAATACTACAGTTTCAGAAATATCTGACAAACGTTTCGATCTTTTGTGTTGTTCAATTTTACGAACTGTTAACTTACAACAAAATCGGAGAAAAAGACACACACAATCATCGGAATCTCTTATTTTACTTATATGGAAATCAATTTAGTTTACAATGGGAAAACGGACCTATGGTGGAGCCTTATGGATGAGAATACGCGAATAAATAAAAGCAATGCTTATAGATACAGTAAATTCCCGACGTCATCATTCTTCCGCGTGATAAAAGACGGCAGCGAATGCTTTATCTGTAGACAGTAATCAAAAGATTATACTTCAATAAACTTTTCACAAAACCATTTAGACATAAAATCTGAAGTAGTTATTCGAACATCGTATGATGTTGGATGTTCATCTTATTCAAAAGTGCAGTAGGACTATCAAGAGTTCTCATGTGAAGAAGTTCTTGCTCCTGTGCATCATCAACGAGTTCTTCTAACCTTCGGCAGTATGGCAAGATGCAATGACGTTCAATCCTCGTTCTCTCGATTATTGACATAACAGGCTGCTCTGTGTATAACATCTTCTTCATTAGTACGGATGTCTAGATGAAATTTGTATGAATCGACAATATAATACAATACACTCATATTGGCGTGATAGATTTTTTTACAACAAATTGCTTGCGACAGCACATGCATACTATTTGCTTCGAGAGTTAAAATTCTCGTTCGACTATTTGATAAATATTCACATTGTATTTGCAGAATTTTCTGTATTTATCTTCTCCCTGTCAACACGACGTATTGCACATGAGTGGAATCTTCGAAAGGCTTCTATATTTCGGTTATTCATACAAAGAAACCTACGAGCAAGCTTTTTCTGGAAGTATTACGACTATGCTTGAATATATGAAGTGTTCGCATCTATTCTGCTGAATTTTTACCGTAGTTTTATTTCAAATACAGAAAAAGCAGTTTGTCATTAACGAAGAGCAGTCAATCAACGTTTACTGCAAATGGCACAACTGCAGTGTTCGTTTGACAAAGATAATTTCGAACCATACTTCGAAGTTCTCCATCGAGATATATTATAACTAACTTTTCCATGTTCACAGCAAATGTGATAGTAACCACGCCCATAGAATAAAGTAATCCGACACCTGAAAATATATACAGCATGTACGGAACTCCGCCGATGAAATAAGCGCTAAATGAGATCATGATGTTACGTGAAACCAAATATTCACGATCGTGTCTTCTGGTCGTGCTGTGTACGGTGGTATGTTTTCTATTGTGATAAAGTCGGGCAAATATATTAATATTAAAGATAATAATCAAAAGAATGGGTATTATATAACAAACAGCAACCAAGTAATAGCAATGTAATTTGTGTTTCTTCGGTACCCAACAAAGATCATCTTTACGGAAAATGATGTCATTCGTAAGGATTGTTGGTAGTGGAAGAATGATAATTACAGTCCATGTGATAAAAATCATGTAGACGTGTGTTTTTGCGGAAGTTAACCATCGATATTTATTTGAGAGAACAATAAAGAAGAATCTCGATATGACTTGCAGAAGATAAGAGTAAATAAATGCAATCATGGACATATACCCGAAATAGCCGCGCCATCGACATGACTGATCGCTTGTATCCCATTTGATGACTAAGAGATAAGTGTAAGCAATAAATTGAGTAACACAAAACAACAGCGATGCAAAACATGTGTTACAAGTTAACAAACGAGTCACAGTATGTAGTTGTCTTGTAGATAGAATAATTATTAGAATATACGAAGTAATAATGATAGAAGTAGCAGCAAAAATCATCGCTGCAGGACCGATGATAGTGTAGTCTGCTTTGAAAGTTGGTGTTTCATTTGCTGAGTCGTTCATTTTCAGAAGAAGAATGTTCTCATGATGATCTGCATACAATCTGTTTTGAAAGGAAAAAAGGTGAAAAGAGCTTTTCAAAATTTAACGCATCGTCAAGCCAAATTACTTTCAGTTTGTTAAGTAACTACGTTTTCCATTGCGAAGAAAAATCCTACTTGAATTAAACAATGCTACGAGATAATTGGAGCGTCTACTCGTTTTTTCCTCGAATTTGCTTTTAGTTGAAAACCCCTTTATCCCATTCAAGAGAAGTTCTCGCTAAAGGATTATCTTTATGCGATGGGTTGACAGGCATAGATTACAAAAGCTCAATCATGCAATTTCTTTCCACGTTTATCCGTTGGTACAAGTGATGCATATAGAGTACGAATTTGGATTTAATCTAGAGGGAAGGATGGAAAAGAATTATTTAAATATATAGATACTTTTCTTTTGTATCACTCTGCCTTATTTATTCTCCGTTTCCGATGTATTTAACTAAATGAATACCTCTAAAGGAATGAAGACATGACTTTCATCGATGATCTTCATCTATTCTTTTTCGTCTTCCTCTCAGACCGTCGTGTCATTTCGTAAATTGTATATATAGAACGAAAGAAACGCTCTAGGTGAAAGAATCGAGATATAACGTCTGTTCGTTATTTGTTTTCGTATGATATCATATTCTAGGCGAACACTTATATCTAGATGAGCGAGTGCAGTCATCTCTTATACAATACATTCACACTTTGCGTACATAAGTAGATATTCACACCTAATGAACTAGACAACTGTCTGTCAGTATATAGTCAACTTGGAACTATAAATAGACATGCGAAAAAGCGTGTATCTTCATATTGTTCGAATATATTCTTCTTCGTGTGCAAGTGCTTGAATCTTAACGTGAACAAATATGGTTGGTATCGTTCGTTTGGCTATGGTATTTTGTCTTCTTTTGCTTGCTTGCGCCAGTAAGTGATCTGAACTTTGTTTTATTCGTGAAATGATGTTTATTTATTTCTAGCGGCAATGGCAAACCATCATATTGAAGAACAGCATACTCAGGACCGTCGAAGAGTTGTACAGAATAATCAAGGCAAAAGTTCGAATCGTCAACGCTGCGTTCCCATTGACTGTGGTTTAGAATGCACCAAAAAGGGCTTTACTGGAAGTCGATGTCTTAGAGATGTCTGCCGCTGTCTGTAATTGTCTAAAATTCGAACAAGAACGTATTTAACCAAGCACAATCGTTAGACTAGAATTCAATTTGTTGTAGTGTTACTCAATGTTAATAAACTTTAATTGTCATTCATCTCTTAAACTGTATGTTCTCGACATTCATTGCAAAAATAAAGCGAGCTATCTTTACTTATCGATCTCATTTGGCTGTTAACACGAATGAATATAAAACCCGTTGTTTGATGTAAAGATAAAGAAGCTAAGTTAAGACTTGAAAGAAGATGATACACACATTTTTTTAATGTTTCATCTTGTATATTCATCAATCCGTAAGCATTGAAACTACACGATCAGACGTAGCCATTTCTTTCTGTGGCTTATCGAATACAGCTGTACGTAACTTTACTAGATATAAATGAGACATCATCGTCATCGTTTTGTCGAAGCACATTTACAATCAACACAACACAACCTGTATATTCGCTTCTTCGTGTAGTTAATTGAGAACAGGGTTTTATTATGATCAATGGATTCAACACTGATCGCTTTAGTGGAAGAGGATCACAACATACATTGTATGTGCCAATGTAGATCTTAAGACCACGTGTCAATGAAGTTGTAGTTTTCGAAAATGATCGACGACATAAGTATTCATTAATACCAAAGAAAAGGATATAGTCGAAGTGTTAGTAAGAAGGTGAAAAAACAACATTTGAGTTTACAGACATGTTGCCATTTCGACAGTGAGAAAATTATTTTGACCTGGATATGATTCAATATAGTGGAGAATTTGGTTTTGAAACTGTTTTTTAGTATCACACAAACTAGATTTTCATTGTGATTTGGACAATATTAGGCATTTCCTTTCACCCCCGAATTGTTCGAGTAGCACCACGGACGGTATGAGACGTCTTGAAAAAGCAGTGTTGTCATTTAATTCTTTTTCTTTTTACAGTCCTCTTGTGACTCGTGTTGAAATACTGTGCGAGAAAATATTTCATTTATTTATACGCATTTGTCGCATTGAATCGATTGTTTTTTTTCTTACCTTTTGCATAGCTTTGCACACACAATTTAGATATTCAATATTAAAATAGAAAGAGAAAAACTCAACAATAAAAAACCAGTGTAAACTGCTTTTATTCTTGGACAAATTGTTCAACATGTCAATATGATGACTTCATATGAGTTCTGCAGCGACATCTATATACTATTCGATCTACTGGCTTTTCTGAAACACGAGTACATTCATCATTATCACTTGACATACTTTTCTCTTAGTCAGTGTGCCTGTTAGTCATACCTTGCACAAAGAAAAGATATAAGAAACAACGTTTGAACTTATTTTTCTCTGCAGATAGTTGACGATTTGTTACAGTTGGACGAAACCAGAGATGACAAGTGAAACAGAAACCAAAGCTAAAGTAGGCCTTCGTAAATATCAACGAACAGTTGTTCCATTAATGATAGTGTCAATCACCATTACGATTGTTCTATTAACGATGGCTTTATTCGATAAACTTCCATGGACAACAACAATCGAAAATTATACAAAAACTTTCTCTTTGGAGAAGCGTTTAATATTTACTATTCAACTTTTATTCATCGACTGTTTTACATTATTATTCGCCATATTTGCAGTGATCGCTCGACGAGTCACAAGTGCTGCCATCAATCCATTGGATCCAAAGGCACAAGTATTGGTCGAACAACGACAACGCATTTTACAAAATACACTTGAGCAATTAGTTGTTAAAGTGATTCTTTCGTTCACACTTTGCACGGTACTTCAATCAAACGAACTGATACTTCTGCCTGTGTTTACCTTTCTTTTTATCTTTGGCCGATTAACTTTCGCACTTGGCTATCCAAAATATCGATCGTTTGGCTTCTTAATGAACCTTAGCAGTACCATTTTCATCGTGGGACTCATTAGTTATCGATTGTTTATCAGCGGAATAATCTTTCAACACATGAAAAACAAGACAAAATGATTTTTTTGTTCATCTTTCTTAAACATAAAGTCACGAAATAAACTTAGTTCACTATAACTTTTCAGAGAAACACATTTCATACTGAGTTCAAAGAGGTAAATGTAGTCACGTTGAAACTTACCACTATTAATCATAGAGATTCATCGCCATTATTGTCCTCCGCCAGTAATTAAAACATTTCCATTTGGTAATAAAGATGCCACCTGCCGATATCTTGTAATATACATGTTTCCTGTCATCGCCTAGTCACTTGCTATTGGATCATACAGTTCAGTGTTACTCAAAGCACCATCAGTAAATCCGTCCGCAGCTATTACGTTCCTCTAAAATAAAACGGATGTCGTATGGTATTCTTGTCCTACATCTGTAGATCTAGTCATCACTCATCCTAAAGACGAATTGGGTGAATAAAATAATAAACTATCGTTTATCGAAACAATTCAGGACTAAACAAAAGGGACATGTAAGAAACTGACGGTGTATTATCTCGTGAACAGAGCTTCGTTATCTACACAGGTAAACATCACCCTTGCATGAGTTTGTTTGATAGAAAATCGTTGAAAGAAAATAATTCTGTGACTAGATTTATTCTGGATTAGATTCTACATATGAGAATGAATGTAACTAATATAAACAGAAGACACAGAGTAACCTGTCAGAGGTTACCTTTTTCATGAAATTGTGATCAAATCAAGAGAATGCATTCCAACGAGTCCATGAAAGTCTAATCACTTTTCGAGAATGACTTCCCTTCTATCTTGTGGTTGACAACTAGACGAAAAAGAAATGACGTGACGACTAATAAAGTTTCTTTTATACGTGAAAACATGAAAGGAAAAAAGAGACAAGAAATCACTTCATCCTATACACAACAATCAATGAACACCTCTTGTTAATGTTCTTGTTTGATTCGCAGCTCGATGAGTGTTCGTTACGGTGACAGGTGCAACAGTATGTCTTCCTCGCCAAAACATCAACGCATTTACAGATTTTGTTTTCAGATCTGGTATTGATGTTACACTTGCAAATGGAGTGAACAAAATCACCCATAAACTAAGATCGAGCATGTCACTATAGTACTGTGCTGCCACATCTGTTGATAGTCCCCACAAATATGCAGCATTCAGTACCATGGGTGGAGCGTCCAACGCCATATAAACCAGCGATATCGATAGCAACTGCACTGCCATTTTGCGATAGCTCCTCCAATCAATTCTGTGATGAAGATGATACCGATGATACACAACACGAACGAAAAGACCAATGCTGAAAACCACGATGATGAATGCTGGCACCATGTAATGTGCAATGCTGTCAAACATTCCGATCCATGGAACCACACCCACACAATCATAACGACCCCCCAGTCGGCGATTGTAGTTCAATGGTGCATCGCATGGAATGATAATCAGCATCATCAAATAGAATATCAATGGCCACACACTGACAAAAGTCAGAGGTAAATAATGAAAGCAGATTCGTTTCGATGTTGTTTCGAGTAGTTTGGGATAGAAAATGAGAATATGCCGTTCGATCGATGCCCAAGCCATTTGTAGTGAGACACACACGAATAGTGATGAGTCAATGTATGCCCAAGTGAGACAAAACAGAGGTGTTGCTGAGAGAGCGATGCCATTGTGATAAAATGCAATAAACCAGACGACGTCTGTGAGTTCGACAACAAGACCAAATAGAAGCATGAGAATAATGACATGATTGT